GTCGGGCAACCTAGTCATCGAACACACCCCCTCCTCCACCGCCTCACAACGTCCTCTTTCGCCATGGTGTGCACCTCGCCCCTTCCCCCCACCTCCTCCACCCCCGCCCCCTCGGCCTTCTTCCTCGTCTTACTTATCAGTATTCCGGAACTTGAGCGCCCCTCTCAGGCGCTCAAGTTCCAGCCATGGTGTGGGAAGGGCGCCGCCGACGGCCGCGAGCAGCCTGAGGAAGACAACGAAGATGGCGAGGGCGGCGAGGAGGAGGAGGAGGAGGAGGGGGAGGAGGAGGAAGAGGAAAAGGCCGACGACAAGGAGGAGGACCACGAGGAAGCCGAGGAGGAGATATCAAAGAAGCCCGCTACCAGTAAGGTGCGATTGGGGGGTCAACCATGCGCGAGAATCGGGCCAGGTCGAGTTGCCGCTGCGCCCCCTATATCCCTGCCCAAGTGGGGCGCGCCTAGGGGCTCGACCTGGCCCGATTCTCGGACATGGTTGACGACCCTCCTGGGTCGAGGTTGTCGGGCCAAAGCCCGCAGCCGCAGTGCCTGAGACCATGGGGTGGGTCTACGAGTGGGATGACGGGCTGAAGAACGCTGTCAGGAGGAAGAGCGGAGCCAAGAGGAGCAGCGATCATGATGAGCACGCTGTCTCGATACAGGAGCCTGAGCATGCAGTTGACACAGATTTCGCGCAGGCCACGTTCAAGGATGGGACCGTCTGGCAGTGCTCGAGAATGACAGTTGGCAAGTGGAGGCAGCTGAGCATTGGCGGCGGCAAGAAGGCAAACAAAATATGTACTCACGGCTCCGCTCACGCCGACCTGAAGAACAAGTATGACATGTACGAGGGCGAGCTCGCGGGCCAGACAATTGCAGTTGCCCTGAGGTGGGATACACCTAACGACAAGCCCAAGGCGAGGCTGTGCTGCATGAGCAGACCAGGGACGACACAGCTCATGCAGATCAACGTGCTCAACTTTAGGGAGGTGGAGAACCCAGAGTTGCAGGTGCCACTCGATGAGCTGGAGAAGCGGGCGTGCGAGTGGATGTCTGACCTCGCGCGACGGCGCTGCAAGGGCACGCTGACCCTCGAGGCGATGCTGGCCATCAAGAAGGAGAAGGTCAAGCTCTTCAAGACGCCCACCAAGGCCAAGCCCACGGACGAGGCCGAGCCCGCGGTCGCGGCCAGGCCCAAGGGCAAGGCCAAAGCCAAGGGCAAGGCCAAAGCCAAGGGCAAGGCCAAGGCGGCAGCCCCTCCAGACCAGGCGACAGCTACAGCGGCGGCGCCAGCAGGCGAGCCTGCTGGCAAGGAGGCGGCGCGGCCAGCTGCAGCGGCAACGGAGGCGCGCGGTGCGGCTGCTACGACTCGCCCAGCAGCAGGCGCGGCTGCTGCACAGGCCGCGGCAGGACAGCCGCCAGCAGGCGCAGCAGCTGGACCAGCGGCGGCGGCAAGTGACGGCCCAGCGGCTGCGGCACCTCCGCGCGAGGGGGACCCCTCGAGGCCACCTCCCATTCAGGAGGATGGCAGCCAGTTGCCGTGGACGCCCCCTGCGTCGTTAGCGCCTGTGACGCCGCCTAGGTCAGCGACCGCCGCCACCGCAGCAGCCGTTCGCACTGCCGCTGCGTCCGCTGGCGACCAGCCGCCGAAGCGGAGGCGGATCAGCCCGCCGCCCGAGCCACCGGACAGCCCGTAGAAACACGTCCGAGCAGCAAGGTTGCGCCATAGTAAGCATCCCCCTTTAGTATCATCCAGGCACTCGGCCTGGCCCACACCCTGAATCCTCCTCCTCTTCGTCTTACTCATCCTGACTCATCCTCAGATCACTCCCTCCAATCACCGTTCGACTGAAGTAAACGCGTCTCGCCAAAGCGGTGCCCATCGGATCCTAATCCGACGACTCCTGAATCCAGATCTCACGATGCTTGGATTTCACATGGGCCCTTATGTAGCGACAGTTGTGCTTCAACGCGGGTGATTGCACATATGTTGGGATTCAAGCTGCGTCAACACTATATGTTTAGATGTTGAAGGGTTCTACGCTCGGCTTCCTCCTCTCCGTCAGATGTCGTCCCGTCCTGAGGTTCTGGCCCAAGTTGTGATGCGCCTCGGAACTCGCTCGGTTTGCCAAGTCGCTGGGACACGCTATCGCTTGAACCCCGTTGGTCGCATTCATTTCGTTACCCCTCTCACTCTCGTCAACCTCATCCGCTTCTCCCATCCAGGGCTCTGCGTGGGATGCTCGATCGCCCAGGTTCCAGAACCGAACGATGAACGCGTGCAGGGAGAGGCGTCTGAGTCAGTTTGTTAATCTCACCGATCGTGCACTGCTTACGTTGTTATGCGCTGGCCCTAGACGGTAGTTCGCCGCTACTCTATGCTGTCCCCTATCCGTCCTCTAATCGCCTCTCTCTTGGACATCATTCTAACACCTCTCCTCCCCTCGTTCGGCTTCGTTCCAACCCTACAGGCGTCACTCCCGCTCTCTCTCGCTCTTCCATTCGTTCGCGCTTTCTCCGCTCTCTCTCTCAGGCTCTCTCTCTCTCTTCCTCATCTCTCTCGTCGTCTCTCTCTCTCCTACACTCCGAACTCTGCATCAGGGCCCTCTCTCTGCTCGTCTTCGGTCCTCTCTCCTTCTTCTATCTCAAGAATCTCTCTCTGCTCAATCATCTCTCCTGAATAGTCCCCGTTCCCCCCATATCTCTCCCTCCCAACCCCTCTCTCTCCCATGGCCCTCTCTTCTGGTCGCCCCACTATCTCTCTCTCTCTCTATGTATGCATGTGCAGGTATACGTGTAGCTGATACTATGGACTGCCCCATCCGCACTACATGTGTTCATGTGTACACATACACACGTCGTTGTGCATACACCTTCCTTCATATCTGTATATATATATACATACACGCATCGATAAATATATGTATTTAATTACACACGCATGAAGGCGTATCGGTATACATGTGTTCCCGCATGGTACCAGCACGAGCGTAGCATTGCACGCCCTACTGAGGGGCCCACCGCATACTCCCCACCAGCAAACGCCGATGCGTAGTCCCCGTAAGATCTGTGAGAGCCCATTGGCATTTCCCGCGGGACCTGTGACAATCACGTGAAGCCTGTAAGATCTGTTCGTGCTGGTGTAAGAATTTCCGACGGGATCCGCGAACGTTCATCGACACATCCCGTGGGGCCTGTACACAAACAGATGCAGTTCCAGTGGGGTTCCCCACACGGTCTTGTAAAGGACTCTGACTGCGAGATTCCGCATCGATCTCCCTCCCCTGTTCTTTCTTTCTCTCCCTCTCTCTCTCTCTCTCTCTCTCTCTCTCTCTCTCTCTCTCTCTCTCCCACTCTCTCTCTACCTCTCCTCTCTCTCTCTCTCCCTCTCGCTGCCATCCCCCTCTGCGCCAGGAGGCCATGGCTGTCGCGCACGCGATGGAGATCGGCAGGTCGACCCTCCAGTATTCTAAGGAACTCTGGGAGGGGCGGCTGGGGAGGAAAGGGTAAGGAATCGACAGGCCGAGGAGGTACATTGAAATGCCGACACAAGTGGAGGATACACTTCAGTAGGGTAAGTTGACGAGGAGGGGGGATGGCAGGAAGTCTGGGCAGGAGGAGGGGGGCCAGACAACTTACCCCGACAGACGGAGGGGCGAGTGAGAGGTCGGTCCCATCTTCCCCTTCGATCCGCATCTTCCAGGTTCTCCGTCCTCCCTCCCTCCATCCCTTTATATCCCCACATCTTCTACCTCGACGCCACCAACTTGCTCCTCCTCCTCCTCCTCCTCATCCTCCTCCTCTTGTGCCCTCTCCCCCCCCTCCTCCACGTTCGCCTCGGTCTCCTCCGCCCCCCCCGCCCTTCCCGCGGCTGCGCCCTGCGCAGGCCGACGAGCGCGAGAGCAATGTCAAGGTGCCGCTCCTCGGAGACCACGAGAGCCGCTCGATGGCGCTCTTCGAGTCCAGCGGCAGCCAGTCTCAGGCCGAGCAGGACCAGGAGGATGCGATGACCAGCGAGATGAATGAGTTGCATGCTCGCTTGCTGGACGGTGCCGACTGCCACTTGGAGACGAGTGCGATCGAGGGGTTCAAGGTCGACACGGGGACGCCGCTGGGCAAGCGCTTCGACCGCTGGATCCAGGGCAACCAGGCCGAGTACGAGAAGTACAAGAAGATGCGGCGGACCGAGAAGGCCGCGGAGCGCAAGAAGTGGTGCAAAGATGTCTACGGCGAGTATCAGGACGGGGGCAGGTGGACAGGAGGAGTGTGATGGAGGAAGGAGGAGGGCATCCATCATTGCTTACCAGTGAACTATGATTTGCAAGGGCACCTAAAACATGGTTCCTGATGGGCCGAGCCTGGTAATTTACAATTTGCGGCATCATCGAAATCAAGGGTGGGGCCGCCGCCGATTCGCCACTAGATGATGCGTTGTGACAACATCCACAACCAATAGGTTGCGTTGTGCCACGGCCGTAGGTAGGGGAGGGGGAGAGGAAAGAGAGAGCTTCGCCCCAGGAAACGCGGAGCAAGCTCAAGGAGGAGATCAACAAGCACCGCTCGAGAGCTCGGTACCTCAACTTTGACCAGATGCTGCAGGCGCAGGGCGGAGGTGCCTTCCCATCGCAGGCCGTGATCTGCGGCTGCGTCAACATCTGCCAGGACGCCATCTTGCGCAAGCAGACGAAAGTAGACAGCAAATCTAAGCGCCTGCTCTTCCGGTACGAGGACGACGAGGAGGTGAGGGATGACCTTGCGACCTGGAGGAGGACGCAGGAGGAAAGGAACCCCGTGCAGGGCCAGGAGCCGATCGCCGTGGCGGTGCCCGAGGGCGCGGTGGACACGCCGATCAAAGTTTCTGCGCCCAAGCCTGGCCTACAGCAGCACGCGATGATCCACAACAAGGTCAACCACGGGGGCGACGGTTCGAGCTGTGCTGGCGCGTCTCCCCTTCAACTCCAGGGAGCTCTTCTGCCGACGGTCGTGAGGGTCCTACGGCCGTGC